CATCCATGTTCATTGGTTAAATGCACTTAGATTGGTTAACATGAACGGCGGAAAGAAAAATTAACCCTAGCCCCAATCAGAACTCTTTCCCTAATCTTATTTATTAACTCAACGCTAATATTAAACCTAACCCTAACCTTTGAGTAAGCTCAGATGAAAACATAAACCTAATATAAAATACCTACCTAAATCAAACGAGTAGGCATGCTATTGGAATAAAAACGTACGTCAAGTTGCCGGCGATTGCGGTCATGCAGTCTGTGAGGTGACTGCTGACAAACAGCTCCACCTCACTCTGTCCAATTTTGACCAGATGCACGGACGCGGGCAGGCCGGAGGAGAGTCGTAAAATGCGTACCCTGATGCGCGAGCAGCTACATGGGCGAGAGCAAGAGGGCAAATTTGACTTAATCTTTTGCAGAAAAGGGGGATACATTTTGGCGGGGAACAGGGTTAAGGGCAAAAACTTACAATCGTGAGATGGGCGTGACAATCAGCTCAGTGTCGATGCCGAAGACGGCGAAAATGAGGATGCCCTGGCCGAAGTTGAAGGCCTGATCAAGGAACTCGACTACTACGAAGACGCCACCCTCGACCTCTTGTACCAAACGCCAGAGGCAAATACAGACGCCCTAAAACAACATTATTTTCGTTATTAGTAGCATTCTCAGTAGTATAATCTTTACAGCAAAACTCCAAGGCCAGCGCCTATCTTGCTTTCCCAAAAAACACAATTATACAGTATGGTGAATGCTGCAAGCGAATTGACTTGGTAGTTTAGCATATACTTATTTACGGTATTTTGATACACTGAGTAGATTTAATCCTGCAAAAGCCTTTTAGTTAAGAAAATCGCTCTTTGAGTTAGGTTTATTTGGGTTAATAGGCATTAATTTTGGCGAAATTGGGAGAAGTCTCATATCGAAGGAATTTCCTATTCTAGTAAATACGACAGAACCAAACTTATTAGTAGTATGCATTATACTATGGGAGAACGCCAAAATAATTAGAGGATGTTTAAAAAATATGTCACACAGAACCGGAAAAATGTGTTCGAAATTGTTTAGATGCAAGTTAGGCCAGGTTTAAGGAATCGCATTTATTTTCAGAGACAAGGAATAATTTAAGTTTTAAAGAGTATGTTTAGCTAACCTATGACGTTTTTTTCTACAAAATGCAGTAGCAAAAAAGGTTTGGTCGTATTTTTTCGACCGCACGGCCTGAATGGCACATAGGCAAAAGTGTCCATATATGTGTTTCGTCCTTTGCCTTCTTCGACTGTATCCAGCAGTCACGCGTA